CAGTCTGTGGGTGCGGTACTATGCAGTATGAGAGTGTGGTTACTATGCAGTATGAGAGTGTGGTTACTATGCAGTCTGAGGGTGCTGTTACTATGCAGTCTGAGGATGTGGTTACTATGCAGTCTGAGATTGTGGTTACTATGCAGTCTGAGAGTGTGGTTACTATGCAGTCTGAGATTGTGGTTACTATGCAGTCTGAGAGTGTGGTTACTATGCAGTCTGTGGGTGCGCTTACTATGCAGTATGAGAGTGTGGTTACTATGCAGTCTGAGGGTGTGGTTACTATGCAGCATGAGAGTGTGGTTACTATGCAGTCTGCGGGTCCGGTTACTATGCAGTATGAGAGAGTGGTTACTATGCAGTATGAGAGTGTGGTTACTATGTAGTCTGCGGATTCGTTTACTATGCAGTATGAGAGTATGGTTACTATGCAGTCTGAGATTGTGGTTATTATGCAGTATGAGAGTGTGGTTACTATGCAGTCTGCGGATGTCGTTACTATGCAGTTTGATGGCGTGGTTACTACGCAGTTTGTGGATGTAAATACTATGCAGTCTGAAAGTGTGGTTACTATGTTGTATGTTGGTGTGGTTAGTATGCAGTCTAAGGGTATATCAACTACTAGTATATCACACAATAACGTGATTACTGTCTTATTTCTTATACATTTAGACAACAGAGCAGACCCGGGACCATGGTTGTTCGAATGGATCATAAGACCATTTATCTTGAGAAATCCTCTCGCTGATATGAAGGTGATGGAGACATATTTGACAAGTGATGAATGCAGTGATATCAACTACACAATTGTCAGACCCCCGCAATTGAAAGATGTCGCCTCCAAAGGTATGACAGTGATGTACGCGGCCGTATTTAAAATGCCTGTTTTACTGTGTTATGCTTGGCTGAGACCAACATACAATGGCAAACCACTGCATTGTTTTAACTATAAGTAGTCTTTCCATATACATATCCGATGATGTTTCGGCCACAATACGTGTCTCCACCAGTTCATAGGTGCGATATATTGACCAATGACGAACGAGTAATATACATACAAGATGGCCCACCGGCATTATTCGCTCTGTTTATATCGTTATTCGTTCGAAAACTGGTAACTCGAAAATATGGAACACCTGGCAACTTGAAGACCAAATCGAATATACGTCGTCATAGTAATGTTAAGCATCTATGTTCCCTAATATGAATATTCACGATGGAACAAAAACCCGGATTACTGTATTTCGCGCATTCGCAATAGTACTTGCTTCATGTTGTGTTGTTATGAAATAAAGGTTTTGTAAACATACGCCACAGTCATCTGATTAATTTTTAGATAATCTGGATGTGCCTGTGTACTTTGAATTCGTTTTTTCTAATGCAGTTATTTATTTTACAGGAAAAGAAATTCTAGAAGACGAGCACCAGTATGTCCGTGGTGGTCAATGGCGAATGCCACGCGTAGACGTTGCTAAATATATGTTATCTACATTAATACCGGACAAATACAACCGAAAGGGAATGGCGATAGACTGTGCTAAATAAAAGAACGTATTCCGAACAGCTGGCGTTCAATAGTAGAGTGTTCTGAGCTGAAAAATTATTAACTGATCGAATTCGCACCCGATTTCAATATAAATTTATTTATGAACTATATACACATATGCTTATTGAAAACGTAATTGTAGCACTGTCGGGTCAATCAAAATAACTATTATAACCTCAAAAATTAATTCAACTCCATAACGTTATTAAAGGGGGAGGGTCGTCACCTGCGCACGCGCGGGAATTGAGTCCCAAGCGACGATTACAACACACACTAAAAACGCAAAGGCTCATGGGTATACGCTTGTTTATAAACAATGACACGCTATGGTCATCTGACGCATGCGCAGGCGGCGAACCCATTTGTGTATAGGTAATCACAGGAGTTAGAGTGCGTTTACAGCTGTAAATGCAATAGTATTTGTCAGTATTTTTGTAAAGGCACGAGGTCGTATTAGAAAATTAGTTGTGAGCAAAAATGTCCATATGTAAAAATAGCTACTTTACCGTTGAGGTTTATCGACTTTTTCTACGAGGATCACCTCTAATTCATGAAAATTTAAACAACTGTAACATTTTTCGCTCAACTACCGGTAGTTATATTGCATCATCACTTGGACCGAGTTATGCTCTATATGGATACTTGTAACCGGGAGATAATCATATACCGGTAGATCGGTCGGATCGACCGTAGTTCCACTGTGTACTATATGA